TATAACAATGTTCTGTAAGCCTATAATGATATAAATGTAAAATATAACAATGTGCTATAAGCCTATAATGGTATAAATGTAAAATAAAACATGTGCTATAAGCCTATAATAGTATAAATGTAATAATAACAATGTGCTATAAGCCTATAATAGTATAAATGTAAAATAACAACAATGTGCTATAAGCCTATAATGGTATAAATGTAAAATAACAACAATGTGCTATAAGCCTATAATGGTATAAATGTAAAATATAACAATGTGCTATAAGCCTATAATGGTATAAATGTAAAATATAACAATGTGCTATAAGCCTATAATTGATATCAAATGTAAAATATAACAATGTGCTATAAGCCTATAATGGTATAAATGTAGATTATAACAATGTTACATAAGCCTATAATGGTATAATATGTGAATATAACAATGTTGCTATAAGCCTATAATGGTATAAATGTAAAATATAACAATGTGCTATAAGCCTATAATGGTATAAATGTAAAATACAAGAATGTGCTATAAGCCTATAATGGTATAAATGTAAAATATAACAATGTGCTATAAGCCTATAATGGTATAAATGTAAAATATAACAATGTGCTATAAGCCTATAATGGTATATATGTAGATTATAACAATGTGCTATAAGCCTAATATGATATACATGTAAAATATAACAATGTGCTATAAGCCTATAATGATATAAATGTAAAATATAACAATGTGCTATAAGCCTATAACGGTATATATGTAGATTATAACAATGTTCTATAACCTATAATAATATATATGTAAAATATAACAATGTGTTATAAGCCTATTATGATATAAATGTAAAATATAACAATGTGCTATAAGCCTATAATGGTATAAATGTAAAATATAACAATGTGCTATAAGCCTATAATGGTATAAATGTAAAATATAACAATGTGCTATAAGCCTATAATGGTATAAATGTAAAATATAACAATGTGCTATAAGCCTATAATGGTATAACAATGTGCTATAAGTCTATAATGGTATAAATGTAAAATATAACAATGTGTTATAAGCCTATAATGGTATAAATGTAAAATATAACAATGTGCTATAAGCCTATAATGGTATATATGTAGATTATAACAATGTGCTATAAGCCTAATATGATATACATGTAAAATATAACAATGTGCTATAAGCCTATAATGATATAAATGTAAAATATAACAATGTGCTATAAGCCTATAACGGTATATATGTAGATTATAACAATGTTCTATAAGCCTATAATAATATATATGTAAAATATAACAATGTGTTATAAGCCTATTATGATATAAATGTAAAATATAACAATGTGCTATAAGCCTATAATGGTATATATGTAGATTATAACAATGTGCTATAAGCCTATAATGGTCAGTCTTCAGGGAATATTCGAACAGCCATGTGTGTCACCACAACTTCAAGAATCTGGGACCAACTTTGTCAAATGTCTTCCTCCACCGTGATGTCTGAATAAGCAACCCCAATGACGTGGCATTCACGCATTATATAGTCGTACATCTGGGATTAACATAACAATACACTGGAACTTAACGGCGGAACCATTCAATACACAGGGATAATTGACACCACTCAATTACACAATGTAGTGTCACGTTCCACACATTCGCAGTAAACTACTGGAAGTCAATTCAAAACGATTGCTGTGTATAATAGAATGCATTTAGCATTTCTCCGGTTCAGACTGCCACCTCGGTAGCTTTACAGTTATTTCCGACGATCCCTGAAACAGGGTTCCAAAGTCACTGTGACGTGATTTCCATCACGTGCAGGTCACGAGTCTTGACTGTACGTAAAGTTAACGATCTTTCTGAACCGGGGAAGTTGAAATAATCGCAACATAAATGTACCGTATGTAAATAATAAAAATCTATCTCAGCTGTCATATCCTACCTAGCTGTCATATAGTGGATCTTATGCTTAACTGACCACAGTGAATGTATTTTAATACACACCTTGTGACATATATGATATGGCGAATTAGCATATGTCAGCTGATGTGGTATACTAAACACAATAATATAATATAATATAATATAATATAATATAATATAATATAATATAATATAATATAATATAATAACGATTTTAAGAATTCCCACCAAATTCCCACCATGAAAATGTCTTTCATAGAACCTTGGGGCCCAGTGGGCATGGTACCAGACCATAAAGCCACATCCCTGGGAGGTGAACACGTCTGTCATTGAACCATAACAACTGTAAGCATCGTACCACTCCTTAAATACCCACTGCACCACCATAAAAAGAGAACAAGCGTGCAACAATACATGGCGATTGTTGGCACAGTACCAAACTCTAAATTCGTACCCGTACTATTCGAGACGAGCCCACCTGTCGTTATTTTTCTTTTCACAATAAAAATATAAATCTAAAATTAGTTTATGGCATTGCTATATAAACATTTCTTATCATATGGGCAAGTTCACCTCGCATGTTGAGATATTCAAGTTGTCATTTCACGTACCCTTGACCAATTTCCTGCCTGCCCTGGACAGTTTCACGTTCACGCAAGTCGATTATCGTCTGTCATTTACATTACATTGACGTCACTAAAATGTAGTTTTATTTTGAGTGGTAGTGATATAACTGAAATATTACTAATTAGGTTTTCCGTGCATGACGTCATCAAATACATATTTTGAATTGCAGTGGTGCAAACGGAGTATTAAAATAAGTGTTATATATAAGGTACTGTTTGTTTGCACTTAAAAATGGCGTATCATACATGACGTCACGAGATAGAATGCATTGTGAGTGGCAAAAGCGTGGTAGACGGAACTAAAACGAACACAACATAAAACCGATAAAAATAACCTCAAAACATTTCTCCTAATACCATACAATGTTCAAATCATTTCACAGTCATACATTGTTATACTTACGTCACAGAAATCCCGCAAACCTCCTTCTGCCATTGTCTAAGTAAAGTCTAACTCCGTCACGAAAGTAGCATTTGCTAACCGACTCTGTCACACGTCCTTTCACCTTGTTTGTACTAATTTTGGACTCGTTCCAGTACCACCTTATTCAACCACACGGACTGTCAATAACAATTTAACTTGAAGTATGTAATATGTAATGTACTCCCCATAGCCCATAGAAATGCATGGTACTGTGGTGTGCTTCTTAGCAACATAGAACGATCTGTGACGTAGCTCAACCCCGACTTAAAAATTTGCATAATTTAAAGTAACCAAAATATATATCATAATGGATAAAGATTTGACAAGGTATTGTCGGGGATTCCATACACTTCAAACTAAACCTAACGATACTGCGTATATTGTTGTCGACTGGTTGGTCGGGTGCATTGTTTGTTAGCAATGCACGATAGGTCAACTCACGGCCATTCAGTGTGTGTGAATGGCATTGCAAAGCAAGCGTCTGTGTCTAGTCAACCGTGGGTCTTGTTAATTACATTATATTCAGCGGGTGGGACCTTGTGGCAAAGAGAAAGTGACAGCGTCCGTGTTTAATAGTTACAAATATGTGTCGTTCTGCAGGGCAGTGACAATTTTGTTTTCTCAAAATAAATAACAAAATTATTCGTGTCTTTTACTGTAACATTTTAGGATTATTGGTTCAAAGTTTTCGAAAATGGTGGCGTACTTTGTACAAACATATTCTCGATTAACCTTGAAATTGTGCGACCATTTAAAGCGGGAGGGTCGTCACCTGCGCACGCGCGGGAATTGAGTCCCAAGCGACGATAACAACACACGCTAAAAACGCAAAGGTGCATGGTTAGACGCTTGTTTGTAAACAATGACACGCTATGGTCATCTGACGCATGCACAAGTGACGACTCCCCCGACGAACTTGTGTTTGAAAAAGAAATTGATTTAGAAGTAGCAGGGTTTTTCCAATGCAAGTAACCAGGTTGATTGACACAAGGAGCTTTTGGTACAATGCAATATCAATGGATTCATATCACGCATGCGCGACCGATTCCTCGAATCAACAATTCAACGAATAACTTACATCATTTCGCTCTATAAACAATCATGTACACTTGTACTTGCTTGCCTCAATGTTTTTTTTCATTATTATTATTATTATTATTATTATTATTATTATTATTATTATTATTATTATTATTATTATTATTTTGCTACCGTCTGTTATTAACAGGATTGAAATTGGTTCACAATAATGATTGAACACCTCGTTCTAAATGTTTCCTAGGTAACTTTGTCAAAAATATAAAACATCGTTATCAAATATGTGTTGTTATACAATGGTCACAAAATTGGTCAGACGACCCACATACGAAACAAATTGCTAGCCAAGATTTGTCAAATCAAGCACGAAACAACCCACCGCCGCCACAGACCATGCCGCCGCCATGTTTGTTTACTTGACCATTGGCGGAAGTCACAGTCGATCTAGATAGAGACCAATAGTTTATATGAAATAATACAGAAACCTAACAGGACCAGAAAAAACAAAAAACCTAAATACACAGCAACCCTATATTTCCCATTCAGTATTTAAGCAGGAAATAGTATTGTCAGTATAATACTGAATAAGACTACACCAGTCCCCGGTAGAATGTAATTCTTTAACAAACCTTCCTTGTTGATTCAAACTCATAGTTG